GGGATACAGGATGAGCAGCGTTTGTACTCCATGTTAGGAGCAGCTGTACATGGCGTCTGTTCCTCAGAGGTGGCCATTTCTTTTGGAGCTAAGTCGGCCTGTCACTGAGTAGTGCTCCCAGTCTTAATGACAAAGGCAGACGCATTCTACTTCACAGAGTCATGATGGTTGTCAAGCTTTACAAGCTTGATAGCCTAATATTATTGAGTGGAGATAAGAAAAAAGAAGAAGATAGGTGAGGTTGGAATTTTGCAAGAATCGTTAGCCATTGGAACAAGATTTTGTTCAGAAAAAAAGTGTCCAAGGCGGGATTCGATCCAGGGTCGTATTTATAAGAAATCGACGGTTCATACTGAAAATTATACAGCATGTATAAATTCTTAGTAAAATAATGATATTCATTAACGAAAATGATCCTCTACATTTCATAAAAATGTAGTTAATAAACTCTTTTGTTGATATTCTCTGTATTGAATGCGCAACTTCCTTACGTAGGTTGTAATGAAATCGAAGTATACCCCGTTCTGATGAAAGATATAGTCCCAATCCATAGTATACAGGTTGGCCCTTTTGTCTGAAGTTGCCAAAGTTGATTTTGGGGTTCATTCTGTAATACGAATTTGAGCGTTCTGTTCAAAGAACATCAACAAAAATGGTTTTGATACATTTTTACATGTAGATGCTTTGTCGCTTATATCGACACATGTAGACACAGTTTGTCATCATAATTACAAGGTGGTAGAACTTCATTTTAGTACAAGGTTATCCCAAAAGTTCGCAAACACGTATATATACTTTTTTTTTGCTTACCCCTAGTACACGTGTTATAGGCCATGTTAATAATGATGGGTAGAGGTAGGTGACTGCTTTTACTGTAAGTGCACCACATGTCTACACATGTGAAAAGCAGTTCGACTTTGCACTTACAAATGTGCCAGAGACCTTTACTTTCACTCGCTGGTGGGTTGGACTTTTGCAAGAATCGGGGACCATTTGAGCATTTTTTTTAAATCAGAAAAAAAAAGTGCTTAATGCGGGAATCGAACCCGGGTTGTAGCGGTGGAAAACCAACGGCTTAGACCATCCTTCAACCGACCCCCTGCAAAAAAAAAATAAAAAAAAATTGAAATACCAATATTATTCGCCGTTATGTATAATGTCTTTGTATTATGTATAAAGTAATTGTATTATATATTATTATGTATTCACTGTAATAATATTATTCGCCAAAAATAAGAAAACAACGTTTTAAGTAAAAACACGATCTTTTGAGATAACCTTATACTATTAACCGTTTTAATGAAGATTTTAAACAGGTTCCTTATTACCAAATAGAGTAACTTATCAAACATCCCATCAACTAACTCTACTGGGAGAAAAAATCTTACTAGGCGCGAATTGAACCCGTCAATATGAACCCATTACACCACAGGTGGACGAGTAGAAAGTCTTCAATTTTGGAATGTTTTAAATCACGATCAACTTTCGTTATTCCATTGTTTTCTAGAACAACGAAGCAACAAATGGCACCGTGAATCACCCTGGTAAACTTTATTCGTTTTTTTTTTTTGCGTATCCCTAGTACACGTAGTACAGGCCATGATAATCATGGTGTATAGAGGTAGCCGACTGCTTTTACTGTAAGTACACCACATGTCTACACATGTGAAAAGCAGTTCAACTTTGCACTTACAAATATGCCAGAGCCCTTTACTTTCACTCGCTGGTTGGTTGGACTTTTGCAAGAATCGGGGACCATTTGAGCATTTTTTTTTCAATCAGAAAAAAGTGCTTAATGCAGGAATCGAACCCGGGTTGTAGCGGTGAAAACGAACGGTTTAGACCATCCTTCCACCGACCCCTAACTTTACTAGTGAGGATAATGAATGAGCCACAACCACAGTTTTGGCAAATTCAGACAAAAAGCCAACAACCTGTATATCAAGGTTTTGGGCCTTTGCTCTCATCAGTACAGGTACCTCTTTTGGTACATAAATATCATCCTTCCACAACTTATATTGTAAATGTGGGTCAGGTGTTGATATTAAAAATAAAGAAGGCATCTCCTGACCACGAGCACGTGTGCTTTTTAGATGGCAGAGCGCCATCTAGTGGAGCAAAAATAAACTAAACGTTTATTTAGCTTGCTCCGTGATATTTGGCCAACCCAATTTCTTGATAAAGCAAGAAAAGCCATCCACGAACGCGTTTCGCGCTGTTGACGCTCGTCAGCGTGGAGAAGGCTGTAACCACTGCGACCAAAAATATTTTTCGTCTCAATGGCTTCCCGAGAAATCAAGAAATGGGTATTTAAGGCCAAATTTGCGTAAAGACGCTTAACACATGAAAAAACAATAGAAAAAAATATGCCTTCTTTATTTTTAAAATCAACACCTGACCCACTTATCTTTTTTTTTTTTTTCTATTGTTTTTTCATATATAAATATGTGACAAAAGGCCATTTCCTGATCGTGCTTGCGCCATCTATCGGAATAAATATCTACTAATCGTTGCTAATCGTTAATTTTTTAATTATTCCAGAATTGGCCATATACCGTTTCTTGATTAATCAAGAAAAGCTAAACACGTTTCGGGCTGTTGGCTCTCGTTAGCGTAGTGCAAACTGTATCTCAACGACCAAAAAAAGGCTGGTCTTTGGGGCATCCTGAAAAACCATGAAACAGGTATTTAGGCTGGAATGACGTGAGAACGCCAATCAATATGAAAAATAGTACAAGAGTGAATTTGTACTTGGATTAGGTGGAGAAATTGAGAAAAAGAACATTTCTTGATCGTGCAATATATATGTATGTTATATTAAAATATTATTTTATTTAGAGTTATATTTGATAGATTCAAATACTCTGCTAAATCGACCGCCAGAGGTCACGCTTGCCCTATAAAAAAGCATTGTTATTATTTCCCGATGGCCTGTTCAAAACTTTTGTACATTATGTAAATAAGTTTTCCATTTATTTATTCTTTCGCCTTAAGCAAGGCAGTACTTTTTTTAATTTTTATAAATACAACATATGTATATACACCTATCCCCCGATTTACACGGTAGATACGTTCCTGAGAAAAACGTGTAAATCGGGGGATATAGGTGTACACAGAAATAAAAATAAAATGCATTGACAGGTTAAAATATGTAGTCAGCACATAAGATCGGGATTCCTCGTGAGATGTGTACACAGCGCATGTGTTCAATCCCAGTAGCATTTAGTATAGTGCGATAAAAAAAAAAAAAAAAAAAACTTATTTGGAAAACCGTGTAAAAGCGAAAACCTGTAAAACAAGTACCGTGTATATCGGGGGATAGGTGTATATGTGTGTGAATATAAATAATTATAGAGTTATGTCTCAAAGAAGAAAGAAAATGAAATGTAGGGAAAAAAGACACATTTTTCACTCTAACAAAATTAATTGTAGCGAAACTCTTTCTATATAGAAAACCCCAACGAATGCAATGATAAAATATTGGGATCTTAGGGCAGTAAGGAATTGTTAAACAAAAAAAAAAGCATTCGCCATAAATAGTAAATAATTTATAATATAGATGGCGCGCTTACATCCTGTAATAAAGAACACACATTGTGTATAAATTACATTGAATAATATTAATAGTTTATCTAGAGAATCCATTCTGACTTTAGCAATGATGGTTGGATTTTAGCATTCCATCGTCAAGGCCTCCGTTCCTACATTTCTCTATGTTGAAAGTTCAAGCAGTTCTTCTTTTTACAGATATAAAAAAATTGTGATTTACTTTTATGGCGATTTCGCCAATTTAATCCACCAGACCGCTTCTTGGAGCTCTAATACTGTATTAGACGATTCTGCTTATATACGCAGCACTGAAGGAAGGAATCTCAGAAATGGGTTTCAAGAAAACCTATGGAGATAAGCTTATAGGACAGTAGATTTACATTCAAATATTTGCTTCGAGCAATGCTCTTCCGCAAACAATAAAGACAAGGCCAGTTAGGCATAAATTAACACAAAGCAATAACGCGCCATCTATACATATAAAATGAAAGGATTTAAAAGCACGAATGTTTCTTTTAAACATAATACAAACTTCTACTGTCCTTACTGCGATGAAAAATATATTGGGAGGGCTTGGCTCATCAGTGGTGAACCCTCCCATAGTTTATCTAGAGAGTCCATTCTGACTTTAGCAATGATGGTTGGATTTTTAGCATTCCATCGTCAAGGCCTCCGTTCCTACATGTCTCTATGTTGAAAGCTCAAGCAGTTCTTCTTTTTTTCAGATATAAAAATGTGTTCCCATGTGTTGTATAGTTATAATGTAATTGCCAAAGTGTCAGAAATAAAATTTCGAGTGAGTGAAAGTCGACGTCTGTAGAGGAAAAAGGTCCGAAAAACAAGTCGGATTCCCAGGTGTGCCCCTTTTTTGATCAAACAGATTAGTCCGCTTTGAGACACGAGGATTGACAGACCCCTCTAGACAGATCTCCCCTGACCGGTGTCGGCTACATTTACTCTCTCCCCATCTCTATGGTGACATCCAACATGTCTCGTCCTTTTGTGTAATCCCAATCACGCCTGAACCCACTCTAAACATTGTGACCTCCACGACTACAACCAACATGCCACACTACAGTCATCCTACAGCAACAACAAACTACATTACTATATATATATCCCACATTGGACACTTTTTTTCTGTTTAAAAAAATGCTCCAATGGCTCCCGAAAGTCCAACCCCACCAGCGAGTGCAAGTAACCAAACGGGGCTCTGGCACATTTGTAAGTGCAAAGTCGAACTGCTTTTCACATGTGTAGACATGTGGTGCGCTTACAGTAAAAGCAGTCGCTAACTACCCACCATGATTATCATGGCCTGTACCACGTGTACTAGGGATAAGCAAAAAAACCTATATATATATATATATATATATATATATATATATGTCACATACTAATATCTAATTTAATGAGAATAAATTCTCTCTTACACACAACCGCTTTGGATGTCCAAGGTAGCCTAGTGGACATGACATCTGCCCGGTAAGCGGAACACTGTGGGTTCGATTCCCACAACCGCTTTGGTATCTAACAAATGAAAGCATTATAAGACGCGAGGGTTTCTTTCACAAATAAATAAAATTTATACTGTCCTTACTGCGATGTAAATATATTGGAAGGGCTTAGCTCATTAGTGATGAACCCTCCCAACGGTTTCACCAATTTAATCTACCATACCGCTTCTTCTTCAACTCCGCCTTTGCCGGTCCCAAGCCCGGATGAAAAAGGAGGAGGGGGAGCAGTAACAAGCTCACTAAAAAACCTGGACTTAGCTGGCCCGGCTGATAGTACCCTGTAAGGGCTCCTAATCCAGGGATACAGGATGAGCAGCGTTTGTACTCCATGTTAGGAGCCGCTGCACATGGCGTCTGTTCCTCATGTCAGAGGTGACCATTTCTTTTGGAGCTAAGTCGGCCTGCCACTGAGTAGTGCTCCCAGCCTTAATGACAAAGGCAGACGCATTCTACTTCACCCAGTCATGATGGTTGTCCAATCTCAAGCTTTACAAGCTTGATACCCTAATATGATTGAGTGAAGATAAGAAAGAATAAGAAGAAGATACCGCTTCTTTAGAGCTCCAATACTGTATTGTATCATTCTGATTATATACGCTACACTGTGAAGAGTGGAATCTCAGAAATGATATTTAAGCAAACTATGGACATAAGCTTTTAGGACAGTAGAATTACATTTCAATATTTGCAACGTGCAATGCTCTTCTGTAAACAATAAGTACAAGGCCAGTTAGGCATAAATTAATACATAGCAATAACGCGCCATCTATATGTATTATATAAGAGAGTGAAATAAGAATATGCAAATTAAATATTCAACTTAGGATTAGACAGTCCACGTTGACTGATGCAATGATCGCCTCCTTTGCAGAAGGTCATTAACTTGGATCTGAATGTTCGAAAACAGAGTTTATCGTCCAGTCTATCCGATAGACAATTAGGAAATCTGAAATCGTTCATTAGAAGCTGTATTCACTGACGCCGTCTCCACGTCGCTTCACTCCCGAACATGGACATCTCTCTATTCTACCTCGCCGGTTATTAATCTTTCTGGGCTTCCTTACTAATTTCATATCGACTGTACCTCAAAACACACATACGGTGGTTTCGCCAATTTAATGCACTGGGAGGGTTCACCACTGATGAGCCATGCCCTCCCAATACATTTTTATCGCAGAAAGGATAGTAGAAGTTTATTTTACGTGTAAAAGAGATATTCGTGGTTTAATAATTGTCATTTCTTATGTATAAATGGACCGTTATTGCCTTTGATTGATAATAACATTTGCTAATGATTGATATGCGCGTGTGTGGTTGCAGGTGTCCACAATGGTGGAAGGATGTGGGAAAACGATCAAATATGCTCTCTTCCTGGCCAACTTTATCATCATGGTAAGTTGGGTCACTCGTTATCTGTCGGCATTGATATACCTGTCAAATTACATTGACAAATATTTGCACACTTATCTTATCTCAGTTTTTAGTGGGAAGAATGTTGTTTTTGTTTGTTAGTGAACCAATCTCTCCCGCCTTCTCATTGGACGAATGTGGTCATATTGTATATATAAGGGGGCTATGGTATTGCGGAGTGGAGTGTGGTGTATTATCGTGTGGAGACGCTTAAAGTGTTCTCTGCGTGCTTTATCCGTGTCTGGCTATCTTCTCGCATACCTATGTGACCCCGGTCCGATCCCTACTAACGCTACAATAAAGGATAAGGTACTGAGTTACTATTATGGTAGGCCCTAGTTAATGCAACTTTGTGTGTTATTCCCTAAACAGTAACTTTGTAACACCGAGACAACAACATTGACACACTTCTTGATATTCTCTAGGCTGCTATCCCATCATTTGAGTTTCTTCTGTAGAAGGGCTACCATGCCCGAAGCTAGAGATTTGATAAATGTATTTAAAAAAGAAACTTATCCCTGGAATTCTGATGTTTTCGCTTTAATAAGAGATTATAATAGTCATCTGAGGCTTCTTGATAAATTACACACACACCAAAAGTCTTTATTAAGGACTTGCCCCATACAGATTCTCCTAATTGGGTAAAGTAATAATCATCTTGTGTTATTTACATGAAATTGAACTGGCTTTACTCTTCGTCTCAATACATTCTCTTGTTGACTGATCCTTACATAATGCTGATCTAAAAAAAAAATATAGTAAGCTATTGCCTTAGATTTGTTTGCTGATATTTTTGAAAGCAATGCGTAAGGTGAAGTGTTGGTACATTTAATTTGTTGATATAGGGCCTTCCTCTCTGCATCAAGGGCTGTACAATTAAGCAGGTAATGGGGGAGTTCTTCAGTAATTTCCTTGTCACACAGTGTACATATTATGTTTTTGGCCTCAAACGTCAGAACGTGGTTGCTTCTTGATAAATTAGTGAAAAGGTATTTTTGAGTTAACGTCTTTAAGAACGCTAATAAACGCAATTACTCTTCGATATTTATTCTTCCGTTATATGAAGCAAGGTATCGGCAACATTCAGTTTGTGTGTTTATTCTAACAATCCAACTTATCCATGTCTCAATCCGATAGTCAACAAATATATAACTGGATGAATACAATGATGTTTGATCAAGGTCTTTGGTTTATATAAATTCTACAAGGCCGCAGTCACCGTTCGGAGGAGATTAATAGAATCGCTGAATGTCGTGGTCCATTTGGATGAGGAAAGTGAAGACTAGAACGTGGCTGATTCCACAATCGTCTTTTCAGTGACACGCTAACCTATGCACGGTGTGGCCACTGGACATGTGTCGGACCTGGAGGTTGTTGGGTGTTGCGCAGCCTGGAGTATAGAAGCTACATCTAGGTTTCCTTCCTGTGGTGAATCTGTATAAGACTGGTGGTCTTAATAAAGCTGTATGTGTGTATATAAGCATTATTATGTACGGTGGAATCTGTGACCACTGGACATGTGTCGGACCTGGAGGTTGTTAGGTTCTGTGCTACCTGGAGTATAGGAGCTCCATCTATGTTTCCTTCCTATGGTGAATCTGTATAAGACTGGCGGTCTTAATAAATCTGTGTGTGTATTCTAACGCCCTGCTCTGCTTATTATATTTGGCATATTGGAGTGTATGTTCTAGGTTGGCGGGATTGTGGTGTTCGGTGTGGGAGTCTGGACATTAGCTGGGACATCCTTCGTGAAGGAGCTGGTATCCAGCGAGCTGTACCTGGCCTCCGCCTGTCTTCTCATCTCCACTGGGGTAGTGGTGACTATCATCGCCTTCCTGGGCTGTATGGGGGCGCTGCGGGAGATCAAGTGTATGCTCATCACGGTAATTTACAACCATTCCCTTAGTGATGATCGCGGCAACAACTGTGGTGTTGGCAGTTCTTTATCATTCTCTTCTTCATCTTCATTCTCATGATTGTCGGCGCCATCCTCGGCTACATATTTAAGAATGACGTAAGTATGATGATCCAACAATGATACTGTTCATTATTTAACACAAAGCAATAACGCGCCATCTATACATATAAAATGAAAGGATTTAAAAGCACGAGTGTTTCTTTTTTACCTAAGACAAACTTCTACTGTCCTTACTGCGATGAAAAAATATATTGGGAGGGCTTGGCTCATCAGTGGTGAACCCTCCCAGCGGTTTCGCCAATTTAATCCACCAGACCGCTTCTAAGAGCTCTAACACTGTATTGGACGATTCTGCCTATATACCCAGCACTGAAGGATGGAATCTCAGAAATGGTTTTCAAGAAAACTATTGACATAGGCTTATAGGACAGTAGAATTACATTTAAATATTTGCATCGAGCAATGCTCTTCCGCAAACAATAAAGACAAAGCCAGTTAGGCATAAATTAACACAAAGCAATAACGCGCCATCATTATAGCGAATTTTGACTAATTACTTTTTTTAAAGCATAAGAAGTACCAACTCTTTTTTTTTATTTATAAGGTTGTCCCAAAAGTTCGTGTTTTTCTTAAAACGTTGTTTTCTTATCACTTGGCGAATAATATTATTACGGCGAATACATAATAATACATAATACAATTACTATATACATAATACAAAGACATTATACATAACGGCGAATAATATAAGACTGAAAGGTCTTAATAACGATTATTGTTGTTGTATATTATGGCAAATAATATTGGTATTTCAATTTGTTGCAAGTGTTTACGAAATTTTAGGACAACCATGTATTAATGGTTCTGTAGTTGATGTTAGAAGTTGTTGCTACTTTGTAGTTGATTAAAGAATCTTTCAAGCAAGCCCTTCGTCAGCTAATAGACAAGGTTTTAGTCAGCTGAAGAAAGGCTTTGTTAGGTATATTAATCCAAAGAATTTTTCTCTATGTAAATAAATTATATAGATATATGAGAAAAAATAGTACAAATGTAACATTGTACTGGGATAAGGTGCATAAATTAAGAAAAAGGCATCTCCTTATCGTGCAACTGAAAGTTGCTGATGGCTGGCGCCATCTGTCGGAATAAATATCAACTATTCTCGTTGATTTTTAATTATTCCAGAATTGGCCAAATACCCATTCTTGATTAATCAAGAAAAGCTAACCACGGACGCGTTTCGGGCTATTGGCCCTCATCAGCGTGGTGCAAGCTGTACCTCAACGACCAAAAAATTGGTCATTAAGGCATCCTGAAAAATCATGAAACGGGTAGTTAAGGCCAGAATTGCGTGAGGACGCTACACAATGTGAAAAAATAGTACAAATGTAACATTGTACTGGGATAAGGTGCATAAATTAAGAAAAAGGCATCTCCTTATCGTGCAACTGAAAGTTGCTGATGGCTGGCGCCATCTGTCGGAATAAATATCAACTATTCTCGTTGATTTTTAATTATTCCAGAATTGGCCAAATAATTACATTTGTACTATTTTTTCACATTGTGTAGCGTCCTCACGCAATTCTGGCCTTAACTACCCGTTTCATGATTTTTCAGGATGCCTTAATGACCAATTTTTTGGTTGTTGAGGTACAGCTTGCACCACGCTGATGAGGGCCAACAG